GATTGGTGGGCAGGGCGAGTAGGTAACTAGGTTTGAGCTTGGAGGTGGGTCGGTCGTCTGGGGCGAGCGAATTAGTCTCTACTGAACCTGGTTCCAGGGTCGGTCAGTTGGAGGGGTCGACCAAGGGTAGGGTGCGATCTCGTTATCAGGTAGGTCGACTGGTAGCGAGCCTCTTCCTTCGGTCGGTCGGTCAGTTAGGTGGGGCGACTGACTGTCTAAGGTTCCATATCTCTTGATAGGACGGGTCGACTGAGATTGAAGAGGCTGACTTTCGGGGGTGTCGGACGGTGTTGAAGGGCGACCGATAGCTAGGTTGATACTTTTGAGTGGTTCTTCTAGTTGAGTTCCATAATAAGGAATGAGTCAGTCGGTTGGGACGGGCGAGCGATCCGATATGTCAGACGATATATCAGCAGATTCGAGTCGAGATGTGGTGGATGTTGGGGATGAGTATGAGCGTGCCCCGACTATTGTGATGATGCCTGAAGGGAGCGTCTCGGTGGGCGTGCTGACTGGAGGTAGTGTAGCCACTCTGGGGGCGAGTCAGGCTGGGCCGAGTGGCTCGGGTAGGCATGGTAGGAGTGGGGAAGACTCCGGAGGGGCCTACAGTCCATCCTCGTCCGGTAGTAGCTCCGAGGACGAGCCGAGCCAGCAGGGCAGTGGGATTCTGACCAGGGATTATCCGCCCGTGCTAAAGGATAGTGACGTGTGACGTATCCGTACATTGTATCATATCCCTGGTTCGGTCGATATCCAGACCCCGCGGTCGTATGAGCAGGTTGATTGGGAAGCTGAGGGCTGGGTCTGTGTTTATGAGAAGTGGTTTCATGACGGGTTGAGGTTGCCTATGCCTCGCCTCATCTGGGAGGTGCTGAACCACTTCATGATTGCCCCTTCCCAGCTTATGCCGAACGCTTGGAGATTGCTGATGGCCCTGGAGGATCTGTGTGTTCGGCACCAAGTTGTGCTTGGGTTGCACGAGCTGTTGTACTCGTACTTCCTGAAGAAGAACGATAAGGAGAAGGGCCGATATTTGCTGAACTTGAGGCACGATCGGTCTCACCTGGTGACCGACCTGCGGTCCAGTGATAAGAACTGGAAAGACCGCTACTTCTTCTTAAGGGGTTAGGCCATTTTCGGAGCGAGGGGCCCGGGCGAGATCCCTATCGGCTGGCGAGCTACTGGTGAGAACTTGTTTCTTTCGTTCTTTTGATTACTAAATCTTGATTGTGTTTTTTGTTTGCAGAGCTTGAGTTCAATCGGGCCGGACAGAGCGGATACGGCTTGGACGTAGCGACCCAAAGAGTGTTAGCCATTCCATCGGAGCAGAAGGATTGGCGAGTAGTCCTAGCAAAGTCCAACTTGAGGACTAGCATTCTTTGGGCTAGAGTAGAGGCGATACAGAGAGGTACTCCCTTCCCCTCGCTGAAGCAGACTTGGGACGTTCTCCTAAGTCGATATTGCAATCAGCTGATTTTTGGTGAGTCCGGGCTGAACCCACTAACCATTGGAGAGTTTGCACTTGCAGAGTCACTTATGAAGAAGTTAAGCGTCCCAAGTGCGAGCGAGTCCATCGCCAGGCATCGAGAGAAGAGGAGGAGAGAGTCGTTGGCTAGGGCAGACGCGAGGGTTGAGGACGTATTGGCGACACCGCCCAGTCGGTAGTCGCCGAGCCAGCAGCCTTTAGCAGGAGCTAGGTCGTCCCAGGCTGCCGTTGTGGATGAGGAGGTTGGGATTATTACTATCACGATTCCGGCTACTGCGTCGACTTATTCCGACGCAACATCTATGAGTGAGCTGGCCGACTCTTTCTTGTTCCCGGCGGACGAGGCGCGCCTGAACCAGATGGGTGCAGTTGCTACTGCCGATTGGGGTGTATCCCGCGCCGTTCATGTATGGCAGTACTTGTTTATTTTTCCTGTTTTTGACTTTGTTCTCATTGCTGAGTTTTGTTGTGCAGGTACTCACTAGCAGTCTTCATCTGAGGAAGTCTGTCGTGGCGCAGGAGAAGCGGATACAGGATGTATCCAAGGCCAACACTGGTTTATGGCAGAGGGAGGCAGCATCCCGGAAGGCTAAGCAGGAGAGTCAGCAGCACCTCAGGGATAGTGAGGCCGAGGTCGAGAGGTTACGGCACGAGTTGGCCGAGAGGACCGCGGAGGTCAAGTCCCTCAAGGAGCAGTGCATCTCCATTGCTGATGACGCCATCATTAAGGCCCGAGGCGAGCTCATGCTGGAGTTCAAGGAAGGGCGGACCTCTCATTGGGATCCGGATGAAGACATTCTGCTCATGCAGGAGTTGTTGGAAGAAGGAACTGGTCATCCGAGGGGGCAGGACGAGGAGTAGGCGCCTGACCTTAGTCAGCCGGGGCAGTCGGGTGTTGGGGATGTGAGCGACCGGGCTGCGGGGCTGAGCACTAGTGGTGCGGACATGGCGACTGATTTGGTGATGGAGGATGAGGCTCGTGTTGAGGATGCTTAGCGCTCTCTTTTGTTTTTGTATTTTGGGGCTTGCGTTGCCCTTTTGTCTGGCGTCTATGCCGTTTTTTGTATTCTGAACTGGGGCGCTTGATGCCATATATACCACCTTTGACTGTTCTGATTTCTAGTGTTGTCTCCTTGGATGAATGAACTGTTCTTTTATTTCTCTTCTTGTAGGTGCGTTATGTTTGTGTATGTTACCTCAGCGTGGCCCAATGGCTAAGGCATGTAAGCCTTATGTTGGGTTGGGTTGGTGCTTTGCTTGTCAATGGTGTAGGAATCATTCATTCGGTCTGGCCGACCGAGTGTGTAGTCCCCTGGATGAATGACGTTGCATCTTCAGTTCAGTTTTTGGGTCGAATGGGGCTGGTCCCAAGGTGCCAAGTCTTGGATCGGGCAGGGCCGATCTGAAGGTGTCATCGTGAGTCGAGCGGGGTCGATTCGAGGGTATGAGTAATTCATCGACCAGGGTCGATTTGAAAGGTGTCTGTATGTATCGGGCAGGGCCAATTTGAAGGTGTCCGTACGTTTATCGGGCAGGGCCGATTGAAGGTGTCTGCACATTTTATCAGGCAGGGCCGATTGAAGGTGTCCATACGTTTTATTAGGCAAGGCCGATTTGAAGGTGTCCGTTTGTTTATCAGGCGGGGCCGATTTGAAGGTGTCCGTACGTTTATCGGGCAGGGCCTATTTGAAGGTGTCCGTACGTTCATCGGGCAGGGTCGATTTGAAGGTGTCCGTACGTTCATCGGGCAGGGCCGATTTGAAGGTGTCCGTACTTTCATCGGGCAGGGCCGATTTGAAGGTGTCCGTACGTTCATCGGGTAGGGCTGATTTGAAGGTGTCCGTATGTTTATCGGGCAGGGTCGATTTGAAGGCGACTGACTATTTATCGGGTAGGGCCGATTCGATGGTGTAAGCAATTCGTCAACCGGGGTCGATTTGAAGATGAGAACTTCTGAATAATACTTCATTAAATATCTGGCCATGAGGCTGACTGTCTAAGAGGAGGTGGATAGGCCCACTCATCCTTTTTAAAAATGAAAAGAAACGAAAAACAAATCCTCAAAAACGACAAGGTTCACCTAGGAGTAGTAGCATTTGAGGTGAACGGCATTCCAACTATTGTTGATATCTTTGCCCTCGGGGGTCTGGAGTTTATAGGCGCCCTTCCCTACTTCTTTGATTATCTTGTAGGGGCCTTCCCAGGTGGGGCCGAGTTTGCCAGAGTTAATTTCCTTGGTGTTTTGGAAGACCCTACGAAGGACCCAGTCACCTATCTTGAAAGTGCGGATCCTCATGTTGCGGTTATAATGTCAGGCGGCCTGTTACTGGTAAACTGCATTGCGGATGCTCGCTCGTTCCCATAGCTCGTCCACAGTGTCTAGGTTCTGGCAAAGGTTTTGACTATTTGATTCCTCGTTCGCCCATTGGAGCCTGGTGGACGGAACTGATACTTCAACTGGAATGACTGCTTCAGAACCGTATGTCAGGGAGAAGGGGGTTTCACCAGTTGATGATCGAGCCGTGGTTCGGTATGACCAGAGGACTCCGGGTAGCTCGTCTGCCCATGCGCCCTTAGCTTTCTGCAATCGCTTCTTCAATGTCTGTATGATGGTCTTGTTTGATGACTCAGCCTAGCCGTTAGACTGGGGGTTGCGGGGTGTTGAGAAGCTCAACTTTATTCCCCACATGTCACAGAAATCCCTGATGCCTGAACTAATGAACTGGGATCCATTATCAGTGACAATCTCCTTCCGTATTCCGAACCTACAGATTACATTCTTCCAGATGAAGGCTTTTACCTCTCGATCTCTGACTTGTGCAAAGGCTTCGGCTTCGATCCATTTGGTGAAGTAGTCTATCACCGCCAACATGAAGACTCGTTGCCCCGGTACAGTAGGTAGCTTTCCCACATTATCCATTCCCCACTTCATGAATGGCCAAGGTGTGAGAATGGAATGGAGTCGTTCTGGTGGGAGGTGTGAGATATGGGCAAACCTTTGACAGCTATCATACTTCTTCGCGTAAGCGGTCGAATCGGTGCGTATGGTCAACCAGTAGTATCCAGCGGTGATCACCCGGTGTGCAAGACTGCGTCCCCCTGCATGGTTGCCGCATTCGCCTTCATGGAGTTCGGCTAGAACACTTTGGGCCTCTTCTGGGCTTATGCATTTGAGATAGGGGCCCGAGAACGACTTTCTGAGGAGTTGGCCCTCATATAGGGTGAATCTGGCGGCTCTTGCTTTCATTCGGCGTGCTTCGTTCTTGCCAGCCGGGAGCTCATCGTCTTCCAGGTATCTTATTATCAGAGTCATCCAGCAGTCAGCTTGTTCAACGCCCATGGCTTCTACGGGAGACTTGTTCGGTGGTGGTTCCTTCCAGTTGGCCGGCCACTGCATGAATAAGAGGGGAATGGACGACTGGGAAGAACATGGGAGTGCCGAGCCAAGGTTGGCGAGGGCGTCGGCATGGTAGTTCTTAGCTCTGGGGATCTGTATGATTGAGAACTCTTCGAATTAGGCCTGCAGCTCTTTGACCATGCTCAAGTAGGATGCCATCTTCGAGTCGCATGCTTGATACGTGCCTTGTAGTTGGTTGACCACGAGTTGGGAATCGGACTTCACTTCCAGCCTTTTTGCTCCCATTTCTCTGGCCAAGGAAAGTCCAGTTAGGAGGGCCTCATATTCGGCCTCGTTATTCATGCACTTGAACCCACATCGGACTGCTCGCTGGACTATGTCTCCCTCTGGTGCGATCAGTACTATCCCAAGTCCGCTCCCATTCACATTACTTGATCCGTCCACTAGGAGAGTCCACTTGGAGGGTGGTGCACCATTCATGTATAGTATTGCCCTTTCCGCTTGGGTGGTGGTGCTTGGTGTGAAGTCAGCAATGAAGTTCGCTAGTGCCTAGGACTTGACAGCGGTGCGTGGTTGGTAGGATACGTCGAACTCGCTGAGCTCTACCGCCCATTGCATGAGTCGGCCTGATAGTTCTGGTTTGTGTAATATTTTCTTAAGTGGGAAGGAGGTGATCACAACTATAGGGTGGCATTGGAAATACGGTCTGAGCTTCCTGGATGCATGGATGAGGGCAAGGGCAAGCTTTTCCTGTTGGCTGTATCGAGTTTCTGTGTCGAGGAGCGACTTGCTAATGTAGTAGACCGGTGAATGCTTTGTTTCTTCTTTCCAAACTAGCACCATTGATATGGCTGTCTCTAAGACCGCTAGGTAAGTGTAGAGCTTCTCCCCATCCATAGGTTTGGAAAGAAACCGGGGGGGGGGGGGGGTCAAATACCTCTTCAGCTGTTTAGGGCTTCTTCGCACGAGGGGGTCCATCGAACTTGTTGGATTTTTTGAGGGCATGGAAGAACAGTGGCACTTATCAGCTGACCTAGAGATGAAGCGGCTCAGGGCGCCACTCGTCCCGTAGCGTTGGACGTCTCTGATGCACGTCGGGGATGGTATGCCGAGGATCGCTCTGATCTGGTCGGGGTTGGCTTCTATCCCTCGCTGAGTGACCATATAGCCCAAGAATTTACCTGATGAGACGCCGAATGAGCATTTGGTTGGGTTCAGCTTCATGTTGTATTTTCGTAGAACCGCGAACGCCTGGCTGAGGTGGTCGAGGTGTTGTTCGGCAATCAGGGACTTGACGAGCATGTCGTTGATGTAAACTTCCATAGTCTCTCTTAAGTGGTCGGAGAACATCTTGTTGACCAATTGTTGGTAGGTGGCCTCGGCGTTCTTGAGTCCGAACAGCATTACTTTGTAGCAGTAGGTCCCTCTTTCTATGATGAAGGCTGTCTTTTCCTGGTCGTCCGGGTGCATCAGGATTTGGTTATATCCAGAGAAGGCGTCCATGAAGCTAAGGAGCTCGTGGCCTGCAGTCGCAGCTACCATCATGTCGATGTGTGGGAGCGGGAAAGAGTCCTTGGGGCAGGCCTTGTTCAAGTCAGTGAAGTCGATGCAGACTCTCCATTTCCCGTTCTTTTTCTTTACTACCACAATGTTCGCCAGCCATTCGGGGTAGTGGACTTCTCTGATCATGCCATTGCTTAAGAGTGTGTCAATCTCATCGTTGACGATTCGGTTCCGTTCTGGTGCAAACTTCCTTCTCCTCTGCTTTACTGGTGGGTGATCTGGATTTACCTTTAGCTGATGGACCATTGCTTCCGGACTGATCCGGTCATGTTGGCGTGGGACCAGGCGAAACAGTCTTGGTTTTGTCTAAGGAACTCTATCAGTTTCTCTCTTGTCTTGGGCTCGAGGCAGGAACCTATGTGCGTCTTTCTCTCGGGGTCGTTCGGGTGTATCTGTACTTCATCCAACTCTTCTATTGAGGGCTGATCTGGCTCAGTTGGAGGGGTTAGATGAGACTGTAATTGCTATAAGGAGTTACCCTTGCTCTTGAAGGCGTTCTTGTAGCAGTCTCTAGAAGCTTTGGGATCGCCCTTGATCTCTCGTACCCCCCACTTGGTTGGAAACCTGATCGTCTGGTGGAAGGTAGATGGGACTGCCCGCATGTTGTGGATCCAAGGCCGCCCCAAGATGGCATTGTAGGGGGATGGACAGTCGATCACCAAGAAGACAGTTTGTTTATTTACTCCGCCGGCATAGATAGGAAGGATGATCTCCCCGATAGTGTATTTCTGCTCCGAGCTGAATCCAACCAACAGTGTCGGTCGTCTGTCGATATTTGCTTCTTCCAGCCCCATTGCTTTTACTGCTTCAAGGAATAGGATATTTGTTGACGAACCTCTATCTACGAACACCCTTTTCACTAGGATGTTGGCTATTTGCAGGGAGAGGACTAAAGCATCGTGGTGAGGAGCGGCCAGGGTGACCGGTTCGTCATCTTCGAACTGAATTACTTGACGAGAGTATGACCTCGAGACCAGATGGATGGACTGGACTTCATGGTGGTGGTTGGTTCTAGCATACCGCTTGGCCGATGAGTAACTTACCCTACTGATTTCTGATCCTCCAGAGATGAGCGAGCAGAAACCCTTCGGTGTGGGTTCTCGCAGAGGGGGCGATGGTTTTTTGGAGCCCTTCTGGCTAATGGTGTTCTTCCCCTTGTCAGTGAGTAGATCACGGAGATGTCCCCTCTTCAAAAGTGCGGCAACCTCTAGCCGCAAGGCGATACAGTCTGCGGTGTTGTGCCCATGATCGTTGTGGAACTCACACCACTTGGATGTGTCTCTTCTTGCCTCGGGATTGAGCTTACCAGACCACTTGACAGCGGACCCCATTCCTTTCATTATCGCTACGACTTGGGTTGGTTCAACGTTGAGGTTGTACTCTGGTATTTTGTGCTGGTTCGATCCGAAATGCCTGTTATCATTTCTCGCGGGTTGGCGATCATAAGGTTTTCTGGTTCTGCCCATAATGCGTGCTTACCGGTCTAGGCTCTGGCTTCCTGTCGCTCCGCCTTGGTTCATATCTGGAATGGGCAGCTCGGTTCATCTCATCTTCCTCTCATCTTATCTGGATAACGGCTCAGGCCAGAGCATCTTCCATTGTGGTGCAGCCCAGCTTTGTAAGTTCTTTGTATAGTTCTCCATCCGGGAGGAGGCCTTTTCTGAAAGCGTCCACAGCAGTCTCAGGGTTACATGAGGGAATAGAGATCTTCTCTTCGTTGAATCTGTTAACATACTCTCTTAATGGCTCTCCACTTCGCTGGTATATTTGGTACAAGTCAGCCGACAACTTCTCTAGCTTCTTGCTGCTGGCAAACTGTTCCACAAAGGTGTCGGTAAGCTGAGCGAATGAATCGATGGATCCGTTCAGGAGGTTCGTGTGCCATTGGAGCGTCGGGCCGGACAAACTAGAACAGAAACTTTTGCACATGCAGGCCTCTCTAAGCGGTCGGGAGATGGAGAAGTGAACATCCGCTGCTTGTACGAGGCTATGTGGTCATCCGGGTCGGTGGTACTGTCATATGGTTTCATGTTGGGGATGGTGAATTTCTGGGGCATGTTAGCCAGGGCGATCTCATCCATAAAGGGTGAATCGGCGTAACAATTTGGTCTGCTCTTCTTGATTGGGATTGGCATTCCTGGAATGCGTCTCATTACTGCCTCAACGTCGGCCAGTCTCTTGGCCAGTAATTGTTCCATAGGGGAAGGGGATACTATTGGGTCATCCCGTCTTACCGGGTCTAGTACATTTCGTTGGGTCATCCCTCGGGGGGTAGTCTAATAAATCATTCCGTCATGCGCTCCTTGGTAGCATGGGTCTTTATTCATCCCTTCTGGTTGGATGACTCCCATTGTCACTATTCTATTATTCTTTCTTACATGAATGGTCAGGGGAGTCGTCTGGTAGTCGTTCGGTCCGTCAGGATGGATGGGCTCAAGTGCTGGAGTTGGTTTGGTTTGGCCGTTCAACCCGCGAGGGTGAGCCGAGCCGGATGGGGTTTGTGTTTGGGTTGACTGGAGGTGAAGTGGGATGGTGGGGATGGGTTGATCCTGCGGATGTGGGCTCTCTGTTGCTGGATCGTTTTGATCATGAGGCTGGGATGGGTCGACTGGACAGCGTGCTGTTGGCATATCTTTATCTCCATTAGTCAGAACGGAGTAGTTGAGCGCCAGTGCGTTTAATTGATGCGGCCCTTTACCGGAATCCGAGGGCCGATGCTCTGGTGTGGAGAGAGGTTGCATGGATGGGATAGTGGTGCGGAACCAATTGGGGGGTGCTTGGTCGGGCAGAAACTCGAGATCGTAGAATTGACTTACTTTCTCCTTTAGCGACTGGTTCTCGACTCTGATGGAGGTGTTTTTGGCTTCCAACGCAGCCACCTTGTCCGAGTTTTGTTGCATGAGAGAGGTCAAAGCCTCCAGTCTGGCCTCGAGACCGGAGTTAACGTTGTCGGGGTTGTCAGCCATGGAATGTTCCTCCACGTAGCAAGTTTCATCGAGCCCAATGATTGCTAGAGACCCCACGTTGGGCGCCAAATTGTAGACGTAAAAATCTACCTATACGGAAGGGGGGGTCTAATCCCGTGAGGTTGAGGCCACTAGCGATCTGCTGTACCTGCACACGTAGAGAAACACACGCATGAAGCGAAAGGGAAACACCGGGGTGGTGTTTGCCGTAGGCACTCCGATGCTCAAGTCAGCTAGGCTGAAAGGCTAATATAGTGAGGGCTAGGGAGCAAAAGGTTACCGGAAGTCTAGTCAGGGACTGTGACTATGGCAGTGATGTAAAGCTCTCAAGTAGGAGCTTCGGGTTTGAAGGTGTAATGTCATGTCCCTTTTGTGAGAGGGCTGGCCTCTGCTCATATAGTGGTCGTCTGGTCTCCCAATCCTGGTAGAAGTAGGAGTCCTAGTATGACTCTGATGCAAACCCTAGAAGAATTAGGGCCGTGGTAAGCTGTCTTACTAGTGTCCGGATAGGAAGGTGATTCTGATTAGGAGAGTAACTCCGAGTAGGAAAGTGATCAGGAATAGGAAGGAGACCTTGAATAGGAGATTGATAAGGAGTAGAAAAGAAATCTGAGGGGGATGTGGGCTCTGGATTCGCCCATGGACCTAGGAAATGGACTGGGATTAAGAGGCTCGAGCCCAAGTGGTTTGGGCAGGCTATATATTGTACCGAAAGGGCCTAATCCGGTTGGATCATATCGGGATTGGGCCTGGCTTCTTCTTCAGTGTCGAGCCCATTTTCCTATTTAGGCCAAGGACGATTTTTGGCCCTAACAGTTATCTTGTTAGTTATTCTTCTTTTGCCATACTTGATTTTGTGCAATGCCAAAATAACTATTAATATAACTACTTTTTAACTACAAAGGCCACCCTTTCTAACTTGTCATTGTCTATCAAACGATGACCTTGGAGTAAAATTGCTCGATTTTGAAAAGTCTTGGAATTTTCAACTCAATAAGCAATTCTTCGGATTAATTGTATTTAGATGCGATTTATGGTGGCCTGGCCAAAATCATACCTTCATCATCTATGATGCTGGTAGAGATTCATGCGAGTACTATGATTGGTGATAATCCCAAATTATATAGTGATTTTGTAGTAGGTTTTAATAAGAATTAGATTACTTTTCATTCATTATTATGGAAAAAGAGTTACGTAATTCACTTTATTCCGTTTTTTAGGTTCAAACGTCTTTATGAAGTAAAAACGGTGATTTTGAGCTTTTCAATGCAGAAATAGGCCTGAATTTAGAAGATATGAGAGTTTCATAGCCGAATGGACACAGTCTTAAAGAACTAATCAGAGCTAAGGTTGAAAACAAGACGAATTGGGCTCAAAGTCAAGAGAGGGCAGTTTCGTAAATAGAATCCAATTAAAAAAGTTTTTGCCGCAGTGAAAAAGCTTCTAGAATTACAGGTTTGGTGTTTTCTCCACGGCAAAGAAAAAGTTTTCCCACGGCGAAATTGCGATTCTATTAAAACTCCGCATTTTGTGTGTTAGGGTTTTAATCCAAAAGTGAAGTGAGTATAAAAAAGAACGAAAATGAGGAAAAAGGGGACGAAGTTGTTCTTGGGAGAGCAACTTTAGAGAAAGGAAGGAGATTGAAGAATTGGGTTCCATCTAGAGAAGATTTTCTTACTCTTTAGCTTGTTGATTTTATCATTGATGTTTTTATTTATTTCTAAGTATAAACTAAGTTGTTTAGCTAGGGTTTGATGTAATCTAAATACAATGATTCCATTTATATAATTGATTTACTCTGGGCTTTAATTTTATGATTGAGTATTTATCTCTTTGCTTAATGTCCTTGAATGCTTGATCACCATTCAATTGATTTGATGATTTACCATGAATCTGAGAGGTAATTTGTGATGAATGATTCATGGGGTAGATACCATAAGTTAAGCGAAAACTAGAGATAAATAAACGCGGTCTATGAGATCTAGGAAGAATTCCATAAAGCTTAAGAGACCTTGAATTATTAAACTTCAATTTTTGGGTGCAGAAGGTTAATAGGAATAGGTAGGGTGGTATAACCCGATAAGTAATACTACACACACAACATTTTTATACAACATTTCTCATACAACATGATATGGCAAAAGATGATTGGGTGAAAGTTTATTTTTAATTTAAAATCAACCAATCATCTTTTGCCACATCATGTTGTATGAGAAATATTATATAAAAATGTTGTATGTGTAGTATTATGCTAACTTGAGAACAAAATAAGGAATTTGATCTTCAATCAAAGAAACCAGAATTTGGGTAATAGATTTTTATAAATGGAATTGGCATGTTTAGATGAAATCAATACCCTAGCAATTGTGACCATTTTTTAATTAAGATTAGTACTGGGCTTTGTTTTATGTCCATTTATATTCTCTTGCATTTCTTTAAATTTTGTTTTAGTTATTAATTCCTTCATCAATCACATCTTTGTTGCTTCTATTAGGACTAGAACTAGAGAAATTAGTACTTAGTAACTTTATCCTCGTGAGAATGATACTCTTCTCATCATTTTATTACTTCTTGCGACTAGTGCAATTCCTAATATGCATATGAAATCAAGCATCAAGTTTTTGGCATTGTTGCTAGTAATTGTTTGTTATTAATATTGATAGTATCTAGGAAGTGCTAAATTGAAGTTTTGGTTTCATTTAGTAGTTACTATGTTACTTAAATTTAATTTGGAATTCTTGTGTTTTGGGTGCAAGTGAAAATTGTGGCAGATCAAAGGACTTTAAGAGAAGTTGTAGAGCCAATGGTTAATGGTTGTGGTCCAAGCATTACAAGACCACCAATTCAAGCCAATAATTTTAAGATCAAGCCAACGATCACTCAAATGATCCAACAATCAGTTTAGTTTGAGGGTAATACATGTGAAGATCCAAATTTGCACATAGCTAACTTTTTGGAGATATGTCATACATTCAAGCACAATGGAGTGATGGATGATGCTATTCGGTTAAGGCTATTTCCTTTTTCACTAAGGAAAAAAGTTAAAGGATGGTTAATGTCACTACCGGCGAGAACTATCACAACTTGAGATGAGCTAGCGCAAACGTTCCTTGCAAAGTATTTTCCACCATGCAAGTTGGCCAAGATGAGAAATGATATAACATCCTTTGTACAAAGCGATATTGAATCCTTGTATGAGGCATGGGAAAGGTATAAGGAGTTATTAAGAAAGTGTCCACACCACAGTTTGCCTATTTGGATGCAAGTGCAAATCTTCTACAATGGGTTGCTACCTAATGTTCAAACCATGGTAGATGCCGCATCAAGAGGAGCATTGAACAATAAAACTCCAGAAGTTGCTTATGAGTTGCTTGAAGTTTTGCTAGCAACAATTATCAAAGACCTAGTGATCAAGCAATGCTAAAGAAAAATATGGGTTTGAATGAAATTGATGCTTTCGCCACTCTTTTTGCTCAAATTTCAATGCTTTAGAAGCAATTGGGAGGTATGAATGTGAATTCAATTCAATCTCATATACTAATGTGTCAATTTTGTGTAGGAAATCATGCGAGTATTGAATGTCAAGTGGGAAATCCATTCTCTCCGTCAACAAGTGAACAACTAAATTACTAGTTCACAAAGGTCACAGAACAACCCATTCTTCAATTCATATAATCTGGGATGAAGAAACCATCCAAATTTCTCATGGAATAATCAGGGAGCAACCAGATCGATAGCTCATTATTAGAAACTGGAGAAAACATCAATTTTGGACGAGATGTTTGGGAAACTCATGCAAGAAACTACCAATTTCATGAGTGAGACAAGAACCAGTTTCAAAAATCAAGAATTGTCCATTTAGAACTTAGAGATACAAGTGGGCAACTTGTTTGAACAATTAAAGCAACAAGCTCAGAGTTCATTGTCACGTAAGAAGGTGACCAATCCAAAAGAGCATGTAAAGGCAATTACATTGATAAGTGGCATAGTTTTAGAACAACCGCACAAAGATAAACAGAAAGAGGTGGAAGAACCAGATGAAGAAGTTGATGAAGAAATAGTAGTTGAAGAAAAAGTTGCATCAGCACCGAAGGAAGAGTTGAGGAAAGAAAAGGCACTAAGAAGAAAGAAGGCTGAAAAGCTACCTTATCCTAAGATTCCACCAGAGCTTGCACATCATACACCAATAGTTCCATTTCCTTAGAGGCTTAAGAAGCAAAATTAGGATAAGCATTTCTTTAAGTTTCTTGATGTTTTTAAGAAATTTCATATTAACATTCCTTTTGCAAATGCAATGTGGCAGATGCCAAACTATGCAAAATTCTTGAAGGAGATCTTATCAAACAAGAGGAAATTGGAAGAACATGAAACAATAATGCTCACAGAGGAGTGCAGTTGTAATAACCACTTCCTCCTCTAATACTCATAAAAATATGCATAATAAAATACATGTATAATAACATAAGTAGTTGGGCCCAAATTTTTCTTTTATTAAACATATACATTCTTTATACAAAATTAGTATTATAAACAAAAACTATCAAAAACTATGTAGACAGTGTAGCCATTCCTCCTCGCGTGTCGACGTCCATCCGACCGTGTCCTCACCTAAATCCTGCAAAAACATAGAAAGACAACGAGGTGAGCACAAATAATGCTTAGTAAGTAAACCTTCTAGTCATTTATCCCCGTAACTCTCTCTCTCTCTCTAAGTCTTTCCTTACAATTCTCATTTACTCTCTCTTTTATACTTCTCTCTGTTTTCTCTTTCTGTTTCTCTCTCTCTGTTTCTCTCTCTCTGTTTCTCTTTCTTAGAACTCTTTTCTACTAACTCTCTTTAGTAAGTCACGGCTCCATCTTACCGGAGGCACGGCCAGGACTCGCTCCCGCTCTCCGTGACTTCTACTTGTTCTTAGCCAATCGGACTCGGTTATGCATGGATTCGGAACCCTTGGCCATGTGAGTATATAATCTCTCTCTCGGGTACTCTCGATTATAGCCCTCATCCGCATGCACTCTCACGGGCTACACCACTTCTCTCTCTCATACTCATGTCGCTCTCTCAATGCGGCGTACATGCGGGAATACTCTACCCATTACTTACGGGTTCCCCATCGCACAACCTACTCTATTCTCTTTTTCTCTCTTTTCTCTTAATAAAGGTCACACTCAAAGTTCTCTACTCTTTCTCTAATGCATAATTAATTCATATGGATGATTCATGCCCATTAATGCACTCATGAAATGCCCAAATGCAATGTTGCATCAAGATAGTCATTCTGCACAGGTCACACTCAAGTGGGGCGTTACAATTCTCCCCCTCTTAAAAGAATTTCGTCCCTGAAATTTACACAAATAACTCTGGGTAACGTTTCTGCATGTCTTGCTTTACCTCCCATGTGGCCTCTTCTACCTTGTGATTTGTCCAAAGGACTTTTACTAATAGAATGCTCTTATTCCGGAGCTCTTTAATCCTTCGGTCCAAAATCTGTACTGGACACTCCTCCTACACAAGGTTTTCTTCTAAGTCAACATCCTCTATTCTCAAGATATGGGAGGGATCACTTACGTACTTCTGTAGCATCGAGACATGGAAAACATCATGCACCTTGTCCATGCTAGGTGGTAGTGCCAATCTGTAGGCCACTTTTCCCACTCGTTGCAATACCTTAAATGGACCTACATATCTCGGTGCTAACTTTCCTTGATTACCGAAGCCCATCACTTGTGTATAGGGGGAAACTCTCAGAAACACTTTATCTCCCACTAAGGGTAACATTTCATGCCATGATGCTTTATAATCCATACAGCAAGCTCTCAACATATCCTCAAGCACCTGATTCGTTCTCTCTATTTGGCCATCTGTCTGAGGATGATAGGCAGTGCTGAATGCCAAACGGGTACCCAAATTTCTCTGTAAACTAGTCCAGAAAGCTGAGACAAATCTGGAATCTCTGTCTAACACTATTGTCTTGGGCACACCATGTAACGTGACTATCTCTTTGATGTAAATCTGAGCCAACTGATCCGTAGTGGTGCTCTCCTTTACTAGGAGGAAATGGGCGGACTTATTTAATCTATCCACAATCACCCATATAGCATTATATCCTCTCTGTACTCTATGGAGACCTGTGATAAAATCCATCGAAATACTCTCCCATTTCCACTATAGAATACTAAGTGGCTAAAGCAACCCTGACGACCTTTGGTGTTCTGCTTTCACCTGTTGACAAGTCAGGCATTTAGCTAGAAACTTTGCAATGTCTCTCTTCATACCTGGCCACCAGTAGCCTTTCTTTACATCTTGGTTGCTCTAAGATGAGTAGTGTATGGTGTGTCATGAGCATCGATAAGAATTCTCTTTCTCAACTCATCATTTTGAGGGATACACAAACGATTTCTGAAATAGAGGACACCATCCACTATATGGAACTCCGTTACCTTGCCCTCTTGTACTTGCTGAACTATTTCCTGACACCACTCATCAGCTACTTGCTTAACTCTGGGGCATTAGTCAAGCCAAAAGGCATCACTACAAATTCATAATGCCCATATCTTGTACGAAAGGCNTTTCTGAGTCACCTCTGGCCCAAGGGCGGTACTCAACTCATCCTTTTCACCTATCTCATCCCAATGTAGTGGAGACCTACATCGTCTACCATACAAAGCCTCGTAAGGCGCCATCTTAATTGTAGACTGGTAACTGTTGTTGTAGGCAAACTCCACTAAGGGTAACATTTCATGCCAGGATTCGTTATAATCCATACAGCAGGTTCTCAACATATCCTCAAGCACCTGATTTGTTCTCTCTGTTTGGCCATCCGTCTGAGGATGATAGATAGTGCTAAATGCCAAACGGGTACCCAAATTTCTCTGTAAACTAGTCTAGAAAGCTGAGACAAATCTAAAATCTTTGTCTGACACTATTGTCTTGGGCACACCATGCAACCTGACTATCTCTTTAATGTAAATATCAGCCAACTGATCCGTAGTGGTGCTCTCTTTTACTGGGAAGAAATGGGCGGACTTAGTTAATCTATCCACAATCACCCATATAGCATTATATCCTCTCTGTACTCTAGGGAGACCTGTGATAAAATCTTGGAATACTAAGTGGCTGAAGTAACCCTGACGACCTTTGGTGTTCTACTTTCACTTGTTGACAAGTCAAGCATTTAGCTAAAAACTCTACAATGTCTCTCTTCATACCTGGCCACCAGTAGTCTTTCTTTACATCTTGGTACATCTTGGTTGCTCCAGGATTAGCAGTGTATGGTGTGTCATGAGCCTCCATAAGAATTCTCTTTCTCAACTCATCATTTTGAGGGATACACAACCGATTTCTGAAATAGAGGACACCATCCACTAAATGGAACTCCGTTACCTTGCCCTCATGTACTTGCTGAACTATTTTCTGACACCACTCATCAGCCACTTGCTTAACTCTTACTTCCTCTAATAAAGTAGACTGAACCTCTAACCTGGCAATCCTTCCCGGAATCACTTCAATATGTTCTCTACATAATTCTTCTATCAACTTTTTCTGCTTAGTGAGCCGGGACAAATAAGCTTTTCTACTCAAGGCATTGACTACTCATTGGCTTTCCCCGGTTGATACTTGATCTCACAATCATAGTCCTTAACCAGCTCTAACCACCTTCTCTGTCTCATATTCAGCTCCTTTTAAGTGAAAAAGTAGTTTAAACTTTATGATCAGTATAGATGTTACCCTTTGCACCATAAAGGTAATGCCTCCAAATCTTTAATGCGAAGATCACAGCTGCCAACTCTAGGTCATGTGTAGGGTATCTCGTCTCATACTCTTTTGATTGCCAAGAGGCATATCCAACCCAAGTTAAGGTTCAAGCAATCAAACGATTGATATGCATGCTTATGTTTATGAGCTTGAGATTGATTGTTGAGAATGATATTATTGATGAGTTGATGGCTTTTGATGAGAAGATTTGAGCCATGAGAAGTAGAAATGAAGTTTGGTAACCAAGTGAAGTTTGGTTACATTTAGAAAGAATTTAAGTAGAATATTTGAAGTGTTTGTCTTGGCCATGTTTAGATTTATTGTGGAGGAGTTTTGCTCCATGAATGGATGGTTAAAGAAAGAAGTAGAGATGTATAAAAATTAGAATTAAAGTATGCATGCATTATGTTTGATGAAATGCCTAACTGAAAAGCCTAACTGAAAACTGAGTGATTTGTGGGCATCTTACAGATTGAACTGGGTTGAGACCAAA